ATTGCATCTCCACCAAGGTTTTCAGTTTTCATAATTTTGAATAAAGAASCACCGTTTGTTGTTTTCCAATTCCCGAACGGCTTTCTGAAACAAAAGCTTTTCAAATTRTCTTTGTTTGCTTTTCATGGCATTCCTAATGAGCCTAATTCATAAGTTTTATAAGTATGTTATCTTCCAAGGAATCGCATCAGAAACTCGGTGGTGTAATGGTATAAGACAGCGCATATAGATTGGACGGTTCGGGATCGTTTCGTGAGGGAGTCATTTATCAAAGACCTTTTTCACTAAATTCATTCTATATTAAGTTGATTATTTCTAATACTTTGATTATCATTAGCTAGTAGTAGTTAGAAAAAGCTGGAAGTAACTAGAATCAAGGTAAGAGTAACTGGAAATAAGATAGAAGTAACTAGAAACAAGGTGGAAGTAACTGGAAATAAGATAGAATACAAGGTAGGAGTGCTTCCTCTGGTATCCAGTTACTGGACGTGGTACAAATTACAATCAGGGATTGGCTAGATACCTCATGAATAATTAATGAGTATGAGAAACATCGTTCACCTACAATAACTCTTCGATTGCAAACGAAATCTCTGAATTAAAAAAAACCTTCGTGCATGAATACAGGATTAGAACGGGTTGGAAAGTAAAATTTGATATAGAAATCGAAGAGTTGGGAGAATGTGGCATGAGTTTTTWCTGAACATGCCAAAATTGGTCGAAAAGCGCATTATAAACAGGATTGTGATCGATCCCGCAATTTATAATGTTTTTGGCATGATAAAATTACAGACGTCGTGTATCACTTTAAATTTTATTGCAGGGGCATTAATTTTTTAAGGTCATGCCTGCCGGAATGTCAGATTTAACTCCTTTCGTAATCTCGAAGCTTTGTGATCATTTTCATTCCTGGTAGTAAGTTCCCATGATGCCTTGCGGTCATTTTCATGCTGGGCATGAAGTCCCATAAAGCGTTGCAACCGTTTTCATGCTGGGCATGAAATCCCATAAAGCGTTGCGACCGTTTTCATGCTGGGCATGAAATCCCATGATGCCTTGTGGCCATTTTCATGCTGGGCATGAAATTCCATAAAGCGTTGCAACAAACGCGGCAGAGGCGCTAAAAGACAAGCTGTAATCTGATTCTTCTCAATATTTTAATATTCTTGATATACTTTAAATAAGAAATATCAT